AATAAATAATATTTTTGTTAAAATATCCTTATACAAATTATAGCATGATAGACTTATTAATAATTAGATTTGCTTTGAGATTAGTGCAATACAAGTTTTTCTTATGTAATACTAATCTTAAAGCAAATTTAATATATATAGTTTTTATGAACATAATTATTTTATCTACTGAGTCGTCATATTAGCTCTACTTCTCTTTCTTTCACTCTCCATTTGAAGGGCCTTCAACTCTCTTTCTTTCTTAAATTCTCTCATTGTCAATATTCGATACGAGCGAGATTTGATTTGGATTAGCACAATTCAATATGATCGAAACCTAACTTATTAGTTAGCTCATTAATTTCAACTTTAAATTAATTTAATAAAAAATATTCAAATTATTTTAATTCACAAAGTCAAATTCTCAACCCAATTAATGATACAAGTGGCAAAATTTAAAATTTATAACTGAAATTATTAGCTAATGGAAAGCCACATCTTCAATTTGAGACCACTATCTATTGAACATCTTCAGTGAAGCAATGGATTATTCCATTAAGGTTTCGTTTGGAACGGCTTTTTTACTTCTTTTTAAAGTAATTTTTTAGTAAAAAAAATTTCAAACTAAAAAATTTCGCACTAAAAAGTCGCTTCAGAAAACAGTAAGAAAGTCATTAAGCCTAAGGCTGAATAAAATATATTTATTATATATTTTACTTTAAAAGAAAAAAACTCCATACTCTATTCTGCCAAACACTGCCACATTCATTCCTCAATCACCTATTTCATGCAACATGCATAGCCACTCAAGCACCTTCACCAACCATCTTTAATGACAATTCCAATTAAATTCCATCCTAATTGCCCATGAATTCCTTGGCTTTGATGAAATATACTTCCAAAAATGATATCAATTATCACTTATTCACCATGATTTGTTCATTCTCAATACAATCATTAAAGTTTCATTTGAGATAGTTTCCTTAATGTTTTCTAAAACAGTTTTTTAGTACAAAAATTTCTGTACTAGAAAGCTTCTTTAGAAAATAGTAAGAAAATTATCTCAAATGAAGCCTAAATTAAAGCTTCATTTGGAACAGCTTTAGACCACTATTTTTTCCAGGCTTTCAAGAGGTTTTTGTACTAAAAATCAGTTTTACAAAACAGTAAAAAAGTCGTCCCAAATGAAGCCCAATTCTCTCTCTTATATTAAATAGTTACCTTCATTGCTCTCACCTCCTCATCCTAAGAAGTATGGGAGATTATATTGAATATTTATGCATGGCTAAAGCTCTTATTCTATCTTTGATTTCAAGATGGAAATCGGTCATAGAGTAAGCTTCCCATCATGTGTAAACCCATAGCCTAAGGTTTCGTTTGGGACGGCTTTCTTACAGCTTCTTAAAGCAGCTTTCCAGTTTAAAAGTTTTAATTTTTATATTAAAAAAATATTTTAAGAAGCAATAAAAAAACCGTCCCAAACTAAGCCTAACTCTCTCTTTTATTCAAGCAATGAATTCTTACCCAATATGCATTCAAATTCACAACCCAAACTATGAAAAAGAAGCCACAATTATTCTCTCATATTCCATAGAACATTACTTCTTGTCTTGCTTGAATAGAATCTTCAACCCTAACCAATCTTAACTAAAAATAAGCTAAACTTAAGCAACAAGTTGCAGGTGAAGAGTTGTCTAATCACCCCAGTTCAGCTCATTACCAGCCCCAAAAGCATCTAGGATCATGGATCAATGCCTTTCTCTGTCCCTTCTTTACTTATTTTTTTGCATTGTCTCCCTCATTTTTGCATGGAAGATACTCCATATTATTGGGATTTGGACCCTTCTCAACCACCTGATAACTATACAAAACACCATTGACATTTCTGATCCTTCAGTCTAATCTCTATTTGAAAAGCTACAGATGTTTGCAAAAAGCTTTCAGAAAATCTCTATGATTTTCACACTAACCATTGTTAGCATAGAAACTGAAGAAGATACCTTTGGTTTGAAGGCAAATCCCATAAAATCTGGTCTTCCATAAAACTATTATTACACTTGCCTACACCTACTCTATTCCACAGTTCTAGAGAGAGAGAGAGAGAGAGAGGAGGGATTCTCTCTCTCTATCTCTACCTCTTTCTCTCTCTTATTTTCAGCATGATAAATGGGATGGTGTTCCCTCACCCACAGCCATCTCTCTCTAAAAAACCAGGCAGTGTCCACATGCCTCAACTTAATTGCATCATGGTGCCTTCATTCTCTATGAATAAACACTATCAGGCATCTATTTCATTGCTGTTAATAGGGCCACATTCATTATTCCATGCACATATTCAGGACTACATATCTATTTCCATGCATTTATTATATTAAATACTTTAGGCTCTATACTTTAGGAAGCTCCATAAGAAGCATCATGTGCCATTGTTTATTTATTTATTTTTATAAGGTTCTTTGATTTGCAAATCCCTTGCCAGTATTGTTTGTGTGGCCACAAAAGAAGACTTGGAAATATTTTTATTGGGAGCTATTTTGTAGCTGTGGTCTTATTGTTTTGATTTTCATAAGAATTTTTCTTTATATTGCTATTCTAGCCACTCAAGTCCGAGAAATTATTTTGTGCGGGCATCAGATCATTCGGAGGCGAATCAAAATGAGCCACGTCATCCGGTACACAACAAAAAGTGACGTGGCGCGTTCTGATTCACCTCCGGACGGTATTTGTATCCGCACAGAATAATTTCACCTCAACTCGGTATGAATGTTTCTAACCGATTCTCTCTCTCTCTCTCTCTCATGTAGACATTAAGTTTGGAGTGAGGAGCCTGTGATTTCTATAAAATGAGCTTGAGTACATAAAATTGTATAAACCGAGCTCACCATTCGTACCCCCTATTTATAGATTTGGATTGGAGCTTTTTATAAAATTGGCTACATATATGAAAATATAATAGTTATGTAGCCTGATCAGAATACCTGGCTTGAAGAAATTGTACGTTGAGTTCCTAAGAAGTTGCTGGCTTAGGCCGATGTCTTGATGGTTAAATAATCAAATAGCTTATTATAAAAAATAAACCCTTTGAATAGTCGTTAAGGCCGACTTCATAGATTGTACTCATTAGAAGGGAAGAATAAGTTGCAATACCCTAACTTGTTAAAAAAAAAAATCTAAAAACTTTCTTATTTTTCCCTTCTATAAAAGTAATAAAGTTCTTAGAAAAAAAATTTATGTTGCATTTTCTTAAAAGAGATGTCAAACATGCTATTGGACCTAATCCAAGGCTTTTCTAATTTAATTTATTTTCTTTTCTATATAGGAGTGGACCAAAGGTGGGCCGACTTTACATCAGGTGGGCCCATAAGTTAGGTATAGCCATGTTAGGCCAAACCCAAATGTGACCCTAAGTCTTACAATCAATATATATATAATTGAATATTTATACAAATTAAATTTATATTTATTTAATTAAAAATTGCTTAAAAATATTTTGACGAAATTTTCGTTAAGATGAGGATAGGCTTAAGAGCCCTTAGATTGACGTTAAAATTAATGCTTATATATAATATATAAAAATTACACTAATCTTGATGCATATCTTAAAATTTTAAGTTAATCATGGTATTAATTACATCCGAATATTATTACGTAAAATAAGGCAAATTAAGCCTTAGATTAGAGCCTAAAATAACCACTAAATTTGGATAAAATAACCGTCCGAAGGCCAACCAGAACGCGTCACATCACTTTTTTGCTCGGCACCGATGCTCGATAACACTGGGTTTTAGGAGACGTAGCACATTCTGATTAATCTCCGAACCGTACAGTGTCATAAAAGACTGAATCATAAAAGACTTCGCTCAATACACAATCTCAAAGCACCAATTGATTCTAACATCACATGGAAAACAAAAAAGCCACAACATCCCAATAAAATAAATTTTTAGCTAAAATTGCAACTCTTTTTTTTTCAAAGGAAAGAGGATGCAAATATTTTATTTTTATTTTTGAAACAAATTAAATTATTTTTAAAATTTATTTTTTAATTTTATTTAATATTTTTATTATTTTCAAAATAAAAATAACCCCAAAACCACCAACCACCACAACCGTACTCGACCGTCAATCACTGGTGGTATCGACAATCACTTATCAATATCACCGCCCCCTATCACCACCGTCGTTAAAAAAAAAAAATACTCACATTTAGATAACAAAAGAATCATACATCATATTTAACTCCATAGCTAAATAAATGGGAGACAAAATCAAGAAAAAAAAAAAAGGAAAGTTTACTACTAAGATAAGAGATTAGATTCCTTCACAAAATTTTATAAAGTACAGAGAAATAATTATAATAATTCTTCCATATAAATATAAAATATTCACAAAAGACTCCTCAAGCCCACCAACAAACAGACATCATTACAAAAAGAAGCACAGGAAGCAAATAAGAGGAAGTGGAGAATCATTTCTGGGTAGAAAGCCTGATTCTAAGGAACATAAATTAGTTTTCTTATTTCTATTTTATTACCACCTTAATGATAATAATAATAGCTCATAAAAAAAAAAATAGAATTTATACAGTATCATAAAGCTTTTAAAGGAGGTGTAGGTCCCCTCCCCTCTCTCTCTCCCCCTTACAGAAGTTCTCAGAATAAAGCTGGCTTGTGTTTGTTTTAGGGGCTCTAGACATGAATAGTTCAGGCTCTAAAAGAAGGAAAAGCCTGGATGGAAGAAGAGAGACTGTAGCATAGAAATTTCTTACCCTACAAGCTTTTCAGGTGATCAGTGGAATGATTCCTCTTGGTCATAAGTCAGAGTCAAGAGAGACTATTCGCTTGGTACCGAGCGCGGTATTGAGTGGTAGCAAGCTCAGTACCGCTCGGTATCCAGCTTGATAAAGAGCGTGGTACACTTTTGGGGTGATGTGGCATTTGTCTAGAGTCAAACATACAAGTTTGATAAAAAAATGTTTTTTTACCCAAAAATTTAGATCAAAGCATGGGAAAGTGGTAACCAGCAGAGTTGCAAACCAACTGCATTTACACAAATGGTAATAGAAGTTGCAGACATACAAAGACGTTGAAGACATAATTCTGACTTTAATCTTTATGACACTAGAATGACTCAGAAAAGTAACTGGAAGTTCAAGCAGTCTATGTAAAACAGCAAACCATAACATGTAGTTATCAGACAATTCCCAACTTAAGCTAGATTTTTCGGTTTTCATTGAATCCCTCGCAGTCATTTGAGCTCGGCCGGAGCGAAGCTAGTTCCGATTTTTGTTCTTCTCCATTGCCTTTGGAGCTGTAAGAAAGAAGATTTGATCAGGTAACTGAGCAAAAGACTATGGCTTCGTTTGGGACGACTTTCTTACCGCTGCTTAAAGCAACTTTTTAATACAAAATTTTTAATTTGTTGTACTAGAAAGTTGCTTTAAGAAGCATTAATATAAAGGAATCATCATTATAGGCATTGCTGAACAACAATAATAATAATGTTGTATGCAAGAAAGTAAAATGATTTCAGTCATAGAGAATGATGAAGTTGAAATTCTTGATGACATTCTGCAATAGGCAGGAAAATGTTGTGACATGACAAAGTACAAAGGGATGGTAGATCTAGAAAAGAGAGACAACATTAATGAGATAACAGGGATGTCTCCAGATATATATTTTGGAGAAGACAAAGAGGTCAGTGGTATTATAAATATGGGTAAGACCTTTACCATAAATATCACAGCAAGAACAACAGTACGGGGAGAATTGATTAATTTATCAAAAACAAGTATTAGCATGTTGTTATGAATGAAAACAGTAAGAGGTGAATGAATTAAATTTATCAAAAACAAGTATTAGCATTTTAGCTCGGCCGGAGTGATGCTAGCTTCATTTGGGACGACTTTCTTGCTGCTTTCTAAAAAGTCATTTTCGAAAGCAATAAAGAAGCTGTTTCAAATGAAGCCTAAAGCTCACTAAAAGCAAGCATTTTCCTACCACCATAAATGAAATTCATTTCAGAGATTGGTTATACAGGTGCTGAGTGAATCGCAGACACATTTTTTGGGATCAATGAAAAGGTTAGTTGAGGTACATCCATGTTATAATACAAGGATGAAACATTAAAGATCCAACAAACATGTTCATACAAATTAATTCAGAGTACATTCAAAGCTCTAGAATCATACCAAGCCCAATTGCGTCTGAGCCCTTCATAATCCGAAGCCTTTTGCAGGAATCAATGAACATCCTGAAATTAAAAGAACCATTAGTGGATCTTACTTGAGGAAAGCCAAGTATTGAACTTTTAATATCACGAGGTAAATTGAAAGGTTACTTTTGTAAGGCAAGAGTCAGATGAAGTAGCTTTGAATTGAGTAAAATGGACTCAATTCATATATAATTGCAAAAATTCATTTTAAAACTGTTACAAATCAAATTATATGGTATAAAAATGATGAAAATAAACAATTTAAATGAGGAAAACTAGTGTTCCTCCGTATAAGTTACAAAAAGATATTACATACTGGAAAGGAAGAAACTTACTTCCATGGAACATCACCAACAAGCATCCAATCTCCATCCTTGTCTTCATAGGTCAGCACATACTCAGAACCATTAAGAAGATCCATCAAACAACTTTCAGTTAGTCCATCTCTACTAGGAGTTCCATGAGCTCCACACTGACCTGAAACACATCAGAGTTTAAAGAGAAGTATAACTCCTCACAGCAAAAGTAAATAAATGACAAGAAAAAAAATCAACCAAATGTTTTACATAATTGCAAAAGCAAAGAACAGTCTGTTTATAAAAAAGTTCATAGATAAAAGTTTGAAGAACTCTAACCGTTAGTTCATGTAGTCATTATGCAATAAATGAAGCAACGGATGCAACAAATTTGTGGACCTAAAGGCAAAAAGATCTAAGAAAAAAAAGTGGATTAAATATGAGACAAGTATGTCAATCCCAAATTTAGGCTTCGTTTGGGATGGCTTTCTTAATGCTTCTTAAAGCAGCTTGTTAGTACAAAAATTTTAATTTTTATACTAACAAGTTGCTTTAAGAAGCAGTAAGAATGCCGCCCTAAACAAAGCCTTAGTAAAAATTAACATTGCCTTATGTTAGTACATAACAATGGTTTCAAAGAAACTAGGCACAAGAAAATGGACCAGAACCATGCCTATTAAGAACATTTACAAAATTTCTTGGTTGTTAGATATCCATGGAGATAAAAATTTGTGAAAAATCAAGCCAAAATGGGTTTTTAACATGAATTATGAAAAACTTTACCCTCTTTTTTTTAAAGACAAACCCTGCATAAATGAAATTCCAGCAACCAAAAGACAGGACCGTTAGGATTCAAACTTCTATCATCTGATCTTGAGAGCATCAACTTCATACATAGCATCAACATAAAATAGATATGCAAGTGTCCAATTAATTAAAACATATCTATTTTTGGCTTTTAACTGAAAAAGTATACCACAGATAAACAGATTCAGATTAAATAGAGGGTAAACATATCTAACCAATGGTAAATCCACTGAACATTTTCTCCAGAGCTGATGAGAGCTCCTTGTAGCTTCCATAAGTCCTCAGGTCAACCTTCCTCAGGTAAGGGGCTCCATCCATGCTAACCTTGACATAGAGGCAACCAAGTCCAATCTTCCCATCGCCGTCTTCTTTGTTCTTCGACGGATTTGTAGACATAGTATTCTTGCGGTAGCTTCTGATTGGTGGCCAACCTACAACCTGTGCCCTGTAACCAAAGTTTAGTCTTGATCCCTTGTATCCTATAGACTAATCATGCATGATAGATTGATAGTAGAATGGTGATAAAAGGGAAGGAAAAGATCCAAGCTATCAAGGGATGTTAGAAAGGACAAACAGAATAAGAAATTTTTTTCAATCCAAACCATAAATTTTCATTTCAAGAATCAGGGAATGAAGAACTGAAAAAGAAAGTTAAAAAAAAAATGTTAAAAAAATTACATGATCAAAAGAAATGGAGCTTTCACAAGATTCATCGATTTGCTTAAGTGGTTAAAGGCACATACAACTCATTAGAATTAAACTTCTGAACATGCGATTTTCTAGAGAAAAATACATTACATAAACGGATAAAAAAAAACTTAAATTCCTCTAAAATCCTCATTACAAAGACTAGAATGTCATCTGTTTCCATCTGTTTCTAACAAAAGCAAAACTTGAAATAGAATTTTGAAAAGAACAAAAAAAGTCTCAAATAAGAAAATATTGGGAAAAAAATCATCAATTTTCCTTCTGGAGGCGCCACATTTTCCTACTAATTTACTAACAAAACAGGCGAAACCCCTAATAAAATTCACCAAACGAAGATCACCACAAAATTGCTAATCAAACCATTTCCCCCTTTTCAACCCAAAACCCCACAAGTAAGCAAACTTACTTTGCAGCAGGCATTCCCTGCGCCTTCTTATCCTGTCCACCCACAGCTTTCCCAGCCACCTCCTTCCCGGCGCCGGCTGTCTGCCCCCCAACTCCGCCACCACCCCTCGGCGAGAACAAAACACCACCTTTCTCCATTTCCCCCTCAGATCCACCAATCCCAGAGAAAACCCACTTCCCGTTCCCATCAATAGCATCAGAAAAACCCCTCTTTGCTCCAGCCGCAAAGCCCTTCTGTAACTGTAACCCAAGAGTAAGCCCCACCTTCTCCTTCCTCTCCGGCGACAAGGAGCCCGGAAGACCTAGCCGGAGCTCCGTCTCACGGAGATTCTCCACTTCACCACTTGCAAGCTTATCAGAGACCTCCGACAGGCCTATGTAGTCGTGCTCCAGAGGCGGCGCCATCAATCTCTTTCAGTAATTTCAGTGAACATGAAGCGTGCTCTCTCAGATCAAGCAGGAAGAACAGAAATGTTAGAGCAGAACGAGCGTAATCAAAGAAAGGAGACGCCTTTGCGGTTGGGTTACGAGGCCGGAGATACTCTCTTCCTTCGCTCTAATGCAGTTTTTCTTTTTTCCCTGCGCGGTAATCTCACAAAAGCTCCTACTTTCTCACTCCACCAGTTTTTATGGAATGTTTTGTTGCGGAATTTGAAGCTTTTGACATATTGAACCTCATCAAAATTTTGAGTTACAAATCAAAACTTGTTCAGTTTTCCTGATCGTAGAAGACAAATCTTTTTGTAGTTATAGTAAAGAGAAGGGCTTATCTACAACTTTTATGAGACTAAATTAGAAACTTGATGCTCGTTAGCTCTTTTTGTTTTTTAAGTCATTCAAAAAGGTGAGCCCGATGAAGGCTTGGAACATAGCCCAATGCATGTGAAGTATTTGATTTTATAATTAATTTATCAACTTAATTATTTAAAAAAACAAAGTAATTATATATATATATATATATATATATAACTTTACATGTCCCATAATATTTGAAAAAATATCATTCCTTTAAAAATAAAAATAATAAAAATAATAAAAAAATATTTGAAATCTAGCAAAAAAAATATAATACATGTGTTGCTCTTCAAATACATGTTAATAGAACTTGTGTAAAAGACATTGGCAAATTTAAATATGATCGAGATAGTGAGCCTTATATCAAAGCATACTTATATCTTAGATGTAAATCTAAAAACAACAATATTCAAACTCAATTGTGGCTCATGACATATGATCATTGTAAAGCTCATAATCGTTGATCCTAACATAAAGACCAAGATGATCATATCAGATTTGAGATAGTTTATAACACACCACAAAACTTGTTGTTATCACGTGGTAATGAAATAAAGAATAGTTATCGCATTACCTCCGTTTGGTGATGCCTGAGAGTTATCATTCAAAGAAAAATAGAAGATCCTCAACGAGGGAGAAGGATGCAACCTTATGGTGGTTTAACTGATGATCAACGAGTTACTTATAAGTCAAGTGCCCATTACATTCATAACTTTTTTTTTTGTTGCATTGATTAATTGCAATTCTTAAAATGTTGCACCAAATGTTTGTCTGAGGATTTATTTTTTGTTATTTCATGTGTTGAGTATATCAATTGACTATGTTATAAATGAATTTGCTGTGGTATACATGTTAGATTGCTCTCTATTATGTATAGGATGTTTGAATCTATTCGCCTCTTTTATTATTATTATTTTATCTATATTATTGTTCATTTTTTTATATCATCTCTGAATGTATTATCATATATTCAAACATTAAATGAATCTAGTTTAAAAACATTTTATAAAATTTTCTAATAATATCATATTCAAACTTTTTAAAACCATATTATTTCAATTAAATGAATTTTATTTTTTGAGCCATGTTATTTGTTATAATATTATTAATTAAATGATTTTTATTTGATTGAACAAAATTTCAATAAGAGCAATTGTCTCCTAGAACGAATGAGGAGAATATCAAATTTTTGTCACATATGATCTCAACTTTGCTCAAATTTTATTTGAATACTATTAAAAACAACTTTGTTATGAACTAAAAAAAATCATTTGCGGACTAAAGTAGCAACATTTTAGTCTGAACAAAACTGTCGAGTATATTTCTTGAAAAATTATATTTCGAGTGTTATTAGATTTCTTGGAACAAATACAAAATTAAATTACTAAACTTGAAATAATGTATTTACTTAGTGTTATAAGAATTTAGAAAAATTACTAGAAATATATTTGAATTACATAATAAATAATAGAATAAATATAATAATTTAAATTAAAATAAAAAATTACCTTACTCTTTATTTGAAAATTTTCAAAATACTTTATAATAGTATAAATCCAATGATTAGCAAGAAAATGTTGCAATTTGCAAATGCTATAATGTTGGAAGTGTAAATTAAAGGTTGGAATAACAAATTGAAAATGCAAATTTGCAAAGGATTAATTCTAAATGAAAAAACCTTGGAGCCATATATGCAATAAACTCCTTTTCATTTTGGAATTATTTTGCAAGTTGTAAGAAATATGGAGAATAAGAATGTACGAAAAGGTAAAAAGAGGAATTGCTTTCTAATTTTATATTTACAAAAATGGAAAAGACTTATACCAACAAGTAACCGCCAGCATTGCGTCCCTTGTCAATTTTCATAATTTTTTTTTTCTTATAATTACATTTTTAAACAAAAGTTGTTTGCAGTGAGGACTATTTGCTTACTATTATAAAGAATACACAAAAGCCATTTATTTGTTTTATATGCCCCAAACGACAACTGACATCAATCTAAATAATAAAATAGAACATTATCACCATTTTGGAGGAACTAAGGATGAAACATTGATAGTTTGTTTTGTGAAAATTGTAATGTAAATTTCATTTTTTAATATAATTACATAATCTTTTTGTATTCAATCATCTTATTCTAATGCATGTCATTGACAATAATGCTGATGCTCGTTGACTTTGGCTTTGTTTGGAATGACTTTTTATTACTTCTTAAAACAGTTTTTAGAATAAAATTTTAATTTTTGTATTAGAATATTGATGTTTTAATAAACAGTTAAAATGACGTCTCAAATGAAGTCTTTATCACTCGTCATCATCAATGACGTTGATGCATGTCATCACGTATAAAGCTGATGACAACATTAACACTCATTAAATTCATCTTATATCATTATTAACAAAGTTGATGTACTACTTCACGTATAAAGTTGATTTACACCATCATTGTGTAGGTTAATAGTCATTAACTTCGTCATCACCAACACTGATGCATGTCATCGCTCCGTCGTCACCAATAAGATGGACACTGTCAACACCAATTCAAACTCTCAACATCAAATTTTTATTAGGTCCAAACACTTGACGTAGCTCTACATCCGGACGCCAATAAAATGTAGTCATGTGCTCTTACTCTTTACCGCGCACACCGACGACCCGACCCGGAACGAAAACCCGGTATTGCTATGTCGTGTATTGCTAGGTATTGCTCGGTATTGTTAGGTATTACTTGACAATAACGAGAAATACCGCTCTGTCAAGACCAATATCGAGTAATACCGAGCAATACCTAGCAAAACCGGGGTATTGCTCGGTATTACTATGTATTGCTCGGTATAGCTAGGTATTGGTCTTGACAGAATAGTATTTCTCGTTACCGAGCAATACAGAGCAAAACATAGCAATACCCTGGTCTGTACAAATCAACTAATACATAGTAATATTGGGTTCTGGTCCGGGTCGGATCGTCGGGCCGCACGGTAAAGAGTAAGAGCACGTGGTGACATTTTATTAGCGTCCTGATGTAGAGCTACATCAGGTGTCTGGATCTAATAAAATTTTCTCAACATCAATGCCCAGATTTATACTATATTTTTTTGGTCTCTAGTGATCTAGTCTCCCCTTCTCAAATATGAATGATTGTATGAATAGCAAATGATCTATTAAAAACTCAAAACTCTTCTAACTTCTATCCTACAATCAATATATCACTAAAGTACCATTCGTCTCCACCTCCACTGCAAATATGAAACAATGCCCAATTCATAGTATAGCCTTTAATTAGGCTTACTTATTTACCTCAATCAATTTGCATTATAGTACTGGTTTAAACTAAAATGATGATATTTGACTGTGATTAGTAAAATTTCAGTATGATCATTTCAATAATTTAACTTAATGAAATATTTTGATTTTTAAAGATAAAATTATCATAAACAATTTAGCAAATTACATTATAATATATCAACTTATACAATGTTTTAATCATGAATCCAATAACAAACACACTAAGTCACTGATCATCACCATCAACTGATTCTCAACCATACATTCGCTAAAAGTTTCATTTGCATGCTTGCAAAAAAATAAAAAAGAAATATAAAAAGAGTGAATTAATTATCCATTTTTCTCGTGAATAAGATCTTTAAGACAATAGTACTGGTTCACCAATCTCTACAACAAATTTGTCGTTATAGATTCTGCAACATCTTCGCTCATTCCATTCGTCACTGTTAAGATTTCCACGGCAAATTATATTTCTTAGAATTTGTTTAATTAAAAATATTTTATATCAAAATATTCAAATAAAAATTATTAAAATAACATAAAATATTTATATTTAATTTAAGATAAAATTGATATTAATTTATCTATATATTATATTTATCCCAAAATATAATAAATTTTAATAATTATATTTAATTTAATTAAAATTTTAATCAGAATATCTTAATTAATATTTTTCTATTTAATTACATCATTTAAATAAAGTTGAATTTATTTAAAATTTTGCCCCATTCACGCACTGCGACTCAAATTCAAATCCCGGACGGAAGCCCACCCACACGTGTGGTTGTACTGTAATTTGTTCTCACCAAACACATTTACCCAACAAGCACCCACACGACTCTCTTAATGGTCCACATTGGGTCCGAAACTAGGTCTCGTTAAGCTATATTTGGTGCTTGGTTCTATCTGATCGACAGGCATGGGTCCCACCGCGGTCCCCTGCCAGCTCTTGCTGAATCGCCGTCGACTGCTCCGATCTCAAAGTCCACGTCATCAGGTCTCGTTGACCAAGGCAATCTTACAACATTTTTCAACAAATAAACTGTGTACATTAATAGACTTTGAGCTATTTTTTAGTGTTATTATTTATTAGATCTAAGGTTTTTGTTTGAGATAGTTTTTCTATTTGATTTTTTAAAATAAATTTTTTATAAAAATTTTTTTTAGAATTTTGTTATTAGAATATTTTTTAGAAAGTTTTAAAAAAGCTTCCTATAACTCAAATACCTTAAACTCTTTTTCTGGCCGACTAAAAAATTATTTTTAAGCAAGAAGTAAAATAAATCATCACAAATAAAGTCTTAATCTTATTAATCAATGAATTAATAATTTTGCTTTATATATTTAAATTTGTAAGTCAGAACTAGTTATTTAAAAATAAAAAAATTAATTTAAAAGTATAGAAATTAAGGAATAACTATTCTTTTAATTATATATAATATAATATATATAAACTATATATATATAAATCATTATATATATACATTATATATATGTCATATATTTTTCTCACACCCGCCTCTTCTCACCA